GGGAGATCATTCTATTGGGTCGAGGCAACTACCGAGAAGGCTCTCCTCCGTGTGGTGGCCAGTCGGCATTGGCCAGCGGATGGAACTCGGAGGAGGCCTAAACGATGAGATCTAATGGGTCGTGTGGAGGTGATCGGCAGTAGGCGGTCTCTCAAGTCTCCATTTATGCCTCCTTTTTCTTTTTATTGAATATGATCACCTTTCTGTTTTCAGCATTTATTTTAAAGATTTTTAGAACACTATTTGTCCAATACATATATTAATTTCCTAGCTCTCACTTTAATTGAAAAGAAACCAATGCTAAAAAATGTCATTGATAAATAAATTGAACAAGAGTAGCATCAACACAATCAGAATTGTCTGTTATATGACCTGCTGGGAGAATCTAATGTGAATGTTTGTGCATAATGCCATAATTAATACCAATAATTATTAACGTTGTGGAAGCTTCATCATTGAAAGCTTTCAAGAAGAGACTGGACACCCTCTTGTCTGAAATGGTATAGGGCAGTGTTGGTGCCCTTGGTGCCAAAAAGGTTTGCCAACACTGACTTTTCAGACAAGTGGCTGTCCAGTCTCTTGCTTGTGCTTGTGATGAAGCTCCTACAACGTCTGAACCCAGAAGAGCAACGGGCGACGGCTGGCTTGCCTGGAGAGATGGTTCTGCATGCCAGCACATGTGCCATAGGTTCACCATCATGGGTATAGGGTCTACTGCTTGAGCAGGAGTTTGGACTAGACCTACAAAGTCCCTTCCAACTCTGTTATTCTAAGTTATTCTTGCTCCTTCTTCTTGTTCCACTAAACATTCCTAGCATCGTCTTCTTCCAATGAATTTGAACACATGACATGACCAAAGTAAATCAGATGTAGTCTTATGATTTTAGCTTCTGGTGATGTCTCTGGCTGTCCATGGTATTTACAATAATTTACATCAGCACCACAATTCAAAGGTATCAATTTTTCAATCAAACATTCTTAGTGTCCAACTCTATCAAAACTATAGCACTATAGTTTTCTGGTGGATATCAATCCTTTTAAGTTGGAGATACTCCTAAAGTTGGTGATACTATGTTGTGCCCCAACCTTTGGAAAATTGACTTGAAGAATTATTTTTTTAAAAAGTTTTAACTAAAGTGGCCTTCCATTAAAGGTATTTTAATAGATCTCCAGTGCTATAATCATCTCCTCGGGCTTTGCCTGAAGGTAAGACCAAAATCAAAGGTTCAATTTGTTATGCTCAGATAGAAGGCCAAGGTGCTGTGTCCGGAAGTTCTAAACCGAATGCAAAGTTGGATGGATAGAAGTGGGAAGCAAGTGAACCAATATAGTAATTTCTGCTCATGCTGTGAGCAACCCAGCTGTTGGCAAGGAGAAGAGCAAGGCCAGCTCATTCAGGATCTCTTCCTCATACCACTACATGACAACACAAGCAGCAATTTCCCCCACAGTGAGGTGTTGGGGAGGTGAACACCATGAAGTGTAAAGGAGGGACGATAGCACCTACTGAAACCGAAGAGCAAAGTAACCACAAAGCAGCATCAAAAACTCAAAATACAATACAGGTAGTCCTCGACTTACAACCACAATTGAGCCCAACATTTCTGTTGTTAAGTGAGACATTAGTTAAGTGAGTTTTGCTCCATTTTATGACTTTTCTTGCCACAGTTGTTAAGTGAATCTGGCTTCCCTATTGACTTTGCTTGCCAGAAGATCAG